TTAAATCCTTAACATTTTTTTGCATTTATTTCTTTAAACAAACAACCATAAAAATTTTACTAGATACACTTTCTGTAAAAATTTATGTAAATAATTTTGGTCTACAAAATAGTTATACAACATAAACATAAACAACATTTTTCAGTTTGATGTGACTGAAGATGTTCAATGCTAAAAGATGATATGTCTCACTCATTCTCAATTTAGGGTCGCAATTCTATGTACCGCAGTGTAAAAGACATATTCAACCACAGACTTGTACATTTCTATATATAGTCGGATAGGGGATACCGGTGCGGAGATAGAAATAATTGTTTTCCACATGTAACTCTCACAATTTAAACAAAATCCAGCTTTATGAACGTCAAAAACAGTATTTACGTTACTGTCCACGGCAAGGTATCAAATTATTAAAATCTCAGTCTCGTGTTATTTGAGTTATTTGTGCACAAAAAATTCTGCAGTTATTTGAAGAATTATTACACTTTTCAACTGATACTTGTAAAATGCATACACATAACACATTTTGAAAATCAGATTGAAACGAACTCTAAATTTCCAGTGTCGCCAAGTCCAAACTATTTGAATTAATGTGTTTCTTAAACGACGTTAGCACTGCATTAAATGTAGTTATAGTAAACAAAACCTATTTGTTTTATTCCTTAGACACATTGTTTTAGCTGACAAATATCAAATATAGCAAAATTGTTCTGTTCACATTGATTTTGCATTTTTTTCCATACCAAGGATCATGGTTATAAAAACAGGGGATATTTACGTGTTGCACGACACAACAATAACACATAACTCAAATGTCAACAGCTCTTAGTTATTGGAGAGGTGGAAGTATATGTACAATTTTGACATCTGTACTGTCTTCTACATAAACAGTTAGTATTAACAACGAATTACTATCTAGCCAAAAATATTTACGTTACGGATATTTACGATACAAAATATACCTTTGGAACGGACCCAGGTACTGATCATCATTTTAGCACTTTTCAAAAACAGCGTCTATGACGTCATTGTTTAACACGTTGTTTACAAGATTTCATGGCGTTGCATATCCATACATTACAGTAGAGAGATAAAAGCAAATAGAAGAGCAAGGTAACTATGACGATGTTTGATATATATTTTTTCTTACGTTTTGAAATAAACTGATGAAGTAGAAGTTTAATTGTATTCCATGCTTAGTTCTTGTCATTTTCAAATACACTTTTTGTACTGATCATTAACACAAGTTAATTGAATGGGGAAAGTATTTACGTTACGATTTGGTAACGTAAATATTTTACTAACTATAACTGAATTATAGAGTGAATACAATAAATAAAAAGTTGTCTTTGTGATTTTAAAGTTGGTTTATAGATATATGATGCTAGTTTCAGTGGTTATAATTCATAGAAATGAATGTTTTTCTACTGTAGCTGCATTAAAAAGATGCGTAGTAATGCTAGAATTGTCATGGAATTTCACCATTAATTAAGCAATCAAATCAATAAAACGTGCTAAAAATGCATCTCAACATTTATATTATGCTATATCAAGATAACAAAATGAACAAAAAACAATACATACAAGTTTACCAATTACTACAACTAATCTGCCTTTGGGTCTAATTGTAACGTAAATATCAAAATTTTATTATTGCTTAAAGGTAAATTTTTTATTACATTATTATAACATACATTATGTTTACCTAACTAGACTTCTTATTATTCCTATCTTCGTTCAAAACAAAGTGTTTGCTAATATAGTTCATATTTTGATATCACTAAATTAACATAAAACTGGAACATTATAGTTCAGTTTGATGCAACATGTACTCCTTTTTCAGGTATACATGGCTAAGTCACGAAGTCAAATCCAAAAAGAGTACAGAGAGAGAAAGAAATTGAAAGAGGGAAAGAATTATTTAAAGAAAGAATCAGCCAGGGTGATTAAATACTATGTTCCAGCAGCTGAATTGCCAACTAAGGAAAGAAAAAAAAGAAACGAAAGAGCAAAAGTCCACAACCAAACACATAGACGCAAAAAAAATGCAGCAGCAATGGTTTTGAATGAATCTGTTACAGAAAGCAGTGGTTATGAAAGTATAGGTAGCCCATTGGTGGTAAAGTTGCCACTTGTTGGAAGGAGGAAAGGAGGAAAAAAGAAAAATACAAGAGCTTTAGCTAGAGCCCATGGTGCAATGAAGCGTTTGAAAGTAGAAAAGGAAAAGCTTCTGAAAAAATTAAAAGCAAAGTCCAGACAACTGAAAAGGCTCAGCACTAAGATTAATTCCGGAACTAGAAGGCCATCTGAACCTTGTACACCTAACAGCAAAACTGAATTAGAACTGAGAGAATTAAATTTGACACCCAGAAGAAGAGAGAGGATAAAGCGAAAGTTAATGTTGAAGAATGTGGTGTTGCACGAAATTTCAGAAGCAAGAGCTTCAACTTCGTCCATGTATGAGAGACAGTCCATAGCTAGACTAGTGTCTGGAAAGTTGTCAAAGAAATACAGACTCAATCTTGCTATAAGTAAAGGAACTGGTATATGTAGAAAGACTTTGACAAAAGTGTCCACAAAGCGGGTAAGACCAGACAGACGTATTTGTGTAGTCAAACAGCTTGCTTTAGATGTTGAAGATTTCATGAGCAGAGAAGATAATAGTCGCATGCAACCTGGAAAAGGGGATGCAATTAAGATTTCCAAGGGAGAAAAGAAGCAAACAATTATTCTAACAAATTATCTTGCTGATCTACATAAGAAATTTTCTGCAGAAAACCCTCAAGTGAAAATTTCGTTGGCAACCTTTTGACGTTTACGTCCACGCCATATCTTAACAGCAAAGTTCATATCCCGGACATCCTGCCTATGTAAAAAACATCAGAATATGGCCCTCAAGTGTCAGACACTTAAGAAATACAACATTTTCGTAAGAGAAAATCCTGAACACTTAATAGGTCAAAGTCTTGAAATAGAGCGTTCTATGGACCAGCTGCTAGAAAATCGAGTGGCTTATCGAGTATGGAAACAAGTCGCTGTTGAAGATAAAAAGAAAATGAAGATCATAGAAAATACAGTAGAGAAGAATGAATTTATAGAGATGATGAAAGTTGAAATGAATCAGTTTGCAAGTCACGTTGACAGAGTACGGTGTCAATATAGAGAAATCAAAACACTTAAAGATAGCCTTAAAGAGAAAGAAATTTTAGTCCAAATGGACTTTGCAGAGAACTATTCGTGTAAGTCTCTTGCAGAGGTACAGAGTGCCTATTGGAACCAGACCCCAGTCACCATACACCCATTAGTTGTATATTTCCGTGGCCAATCAAAATTAGAACACAAAAGCATCGCAATAATTTCTGATGAACTTTCTCATTGTACCAGTACAGTGTGCACATTTCTTGATTCTTTAGTTCCAGTCTGGAAGGAAATCTGTCCAAATGTCGAGTTTGTCCACTACTGGACGGATAGTCCATCAAGCCAATACCGCAATAAAACCATTTTTGACCTCGTTGCAAATCATTCATCAGTTTATGGAATTCAGGCCCGTTGGAATTATTTTGAGGCTGGGCATGGCAAGGGACCTTGCGACGGTCTTGGTGGAACAATCAAAAGAATGGCTGACGAAGCAGTGAAGAGAGGAGCAGTTGTTATTCAAGATCCAAAAGAATTTTTTGATTGGTCTATAACTTCAAACATGAAAGAAGTGAAGTTTTTGTTTGTAAAAAAAGAAGATTGCAAGAAAAAGCTCGACCAACTAAATAAACTAAAGCTGAAGCCAATTAAAGGAACAATGAAGTTTCATGCTGTAGCCTATGACTTACAGACGGCCGAACTTTGCACCAGAGAAACATCATGCTACTGTGACACATGCTTGAAAGGGAAATTCTGTGAATCCTGGAATAGACAGACATATGAAGGTAACACAAATCATAACAGTCACACAGAAGAAACAGTCACACAAAACGAATTGCAAGAAAGTAATGAGATCCAAAATGAAGATTATCATGAAATAATAATAGTAGAAGTGTCAGTGGATGACTTTATTGCATGTGTTTATGAAGGTCAGTGGTACATCGGGAAAATTTTAGATATGGACGACGAAGATGTACAGGTTACCTTTCTCGAAAGAGCGAAAGCTATGTTTAGGTGGCCAACTTCACCTGACACGATATGGTGCAAAAAATCAGACGTCTTCTATAAACTTGATCATCTAGAGCCTTCCGGCAAGAGCAAACGCTTTTGGAAAATAAGCCCAGAGGACAGAACTAGAATTGAGAACAACTTTGAAGCTCATGAAATGAACACAAATAAATAAAACATATTTGTTGAATTGTTTAACATGTTTGATGCATAATCTTTGCATTTTGATATTTACGTTACCAATTAAAAATTTGAAATTTTTGTCTCTTATTTGATGGTAGACAAATGTCTGAGTTGATAAATTCGTTGTACATTCATTAAAAAAACTTTCAATGTTTAAAGTCAGAATTTCGGATTAAAATTTTATAAGTTAGATTATTGATATTTACGTTGCCTTTACACAGGTCTATGAAAAGTTTAAAATATCTACCATGCCAACATTTCTTTGGGAAAACCTTTTTCATATTTCATTGCAATTATTCAAAAAAAGGTATCAGCCATAAATTGTTTGCTTACAATGCATTGAACAGAGAGAAAAAATAAATCAAAGAAAGTGATTTTATAGAGTAAAAGGAACAGCTACAGTTTAAAAACGGACCCAGTTTTGATTTGGCTGATTCGGTCATATGAATTTCGGACCATGGTAATCAGAAGTGAATTTGAAAGTCAAAACTGTTGTTCTATTTAGACAACTCAATATTTTGAAGTATATTGATGAACATTGGCTTTATTTAATATGTTTAAAACAGTCAGTTGCAGATCACGTAAATATTTTGTCAAAAATTGGACATTAAAGGCGCCAAAACTAAGAGCTGGTAAATTTTTTATCCATGTTTGTGAGTAGAAAAGAATAGCAGTTTTGATTAACAGGTTTATTTAGGTATAATGTATGAAAGGTTTTAATGTAATTTTGTAACCTTTATTATAATTGATTTAAGCATATGCCTTAGCCACCGTAACTTGAGAATGAGTGGTCTGAATGGCAAGTAATTTACATTGATTGTCTGTTTTCATTTTTCTTTTTTTACAAGAAATATTATTTTCATATTAATCTTTCTGTTCAATATCAATGTTTTGTTCACTTTGCTCAGAAATAAATTTCTCAGTGTTTTCGTGTTCTATCTTATCAAGATCCTCCTGATCACTGTGTCTCGGGTCATTAAGAACCTTATTTGTTCTATTCGTTTCTCCAAGATTTTGCTCATCTCTATGATTCACTTCAATGCATTCCTCTTCAGCTGTGGGAGTCTCTCTTAAATTCTGCTGATCAGTTTGTTTCATGTCATCACCTGGTTCTTGGGCATCATATCCTTCTCCATCCAGTATTAGTTCACCATAGTAGGCACAGATTGTTTTTAACTTTTTATTCAGGATGTTTTGTTCTATTTCTACTCTGCCTCCAGGTCCAGCTATCACTGTTAACTGAAAATACAGAATAAAGCCAAACTAAAAAATTTTCTATGACTCGCTTCTTCAGTCAGTCGTATATTGACAACCTATCCCCCTTTTTAACAACTTTTTTGCTATTTAAAAGAAAATGTTTATTGTCAACTTCGAAAATTATTTTTATGTCAGAAACAGTACAAAATAAAATCAAAATATTTGCCTCCCTTCTCAAAATCAAAAAAAGAAATGAATGATATGTAAGGAATACATCTATTATGATGTAATGAAATTAATGATATCAACATAATATAAAACAATTAAATCTGTATGCCACATTGCTACAATTCTCATTTTCCAAAAGATTTCTTTTTCCTTATTTGATTATTATTACATGTTTTTTTTTATTATTATATTGAGTTTTTTGCTTTTTTTTCACTTTGTTGTATGATTGTTTGAGCATTTGAAAACTCTTTATTTATCTAAATTATACCTTTCAAAGACTGAAGCAAAGCCTCCCTGTTACAGAACATCTTGTTACAACAATATTTGCTACTAAGATTCCTTTGGAAGTAATGATTGATTTTCAATTCATTTCTTAAAATATCAGTTTAAAAAAAATTAGGTCTATTTTGTCGATTATTTTTTTAATTTGTTATAAGCTAATCTTTAAATCTGTCAAATTTGAACTGGATCTGTGTTAAATAGTTCCTAACAAAATATTCCATTCCCAAATGATTCTCTTGAGGATAACTATTCAGGTTGTTGTCTGGAAACCAAATATTTTGCTATTATCCTGCTTATCAAGGGGCATAATTCTGGATATAAAAAAAAAAAATTTGGTCAAATTCGAACTGATCTGAGTAAAGTGGTCCATAACAAAATATTCAATATTCAACTATTTGATTGAGGCTTATTCAAGTTATTTTGGCTATTTTCTGCTTTATCAACAGGCATAATTCTTGAAAGACATAAGTGAAATAGTCAAAATTCAAATCTCTTCCCCTTCATAAATATAAAAAGTGTTTTTTGCTGTTTTTTGGTTTTTTTTTTAATGTTTCACAAAATACTGCAAAGGTTTTCTCCCCTTGCCAAAGAATAGAATTCATTGTTTCATCAATAAGATGATAATTCTGACAAATTTCTAAAATATATATCAAGAACTAAAATAAGATGTTATATAAAGGTACTTTATTTCAAAGAAATTAATAATAAATCCTCTGAATCGTCTTACTTGTTCACAAATTTCAAAACCATTTGACTTATAATACTGAAATTAGCAACATATCCAAGACAGCAGCCTCCTTAGATGCTAAGTTGAATGCTTAGAATCAATCTTATATAAAAATAAAGGAAGATTTTGATAGCAAGTGATGTAGATGTAAGCAACTATAGGTCACCATATTATATATTACCTTATTATCATATTTATAGGCTGGCTTCACAATGCATAAAGGCAACTAGATATGTTTCTACAGATATGTAGTAAGTATCATCCTTAGTATTGTCTCATTTACATACATTTTTGTGTTCAGTTCATTTTGTTTTATGTCTAACTTGCCTTGACTGATAATTTCTGACGTACCTGGTATTTTCTAACACACATAATTGTGAATTGTGACTTAATGCATTATAATTACTGGATATAAATCTTATTTTCTGATATTACATACCTGTTCAATGTCTGTGTTTCTTGGAACGAAGTACACAATATTTTTTGAGATCTTCTGTGCAACATCAAATATCTTTAGTGTTTATAAGTTAAGGATAAAATTTCAGTAAACAACCAATAAACATAGCATAAACAGTTAGAACAAAAGTCAAGCAGCCTGAATTCAAATATCCCAAGAACCGAGCTTGAAGGTTTCAAGGTCATATGTTGATTTCTAAAGAATATTTTGCTTCTGAAAATGAAATTCTTATTAATTACATGAAGTTCACATGTGCTTTTTACAACAAAATTTAATGCACATTTTGATCAAAATAAGGGTATTTATGGTTTTTTTTCGAAAAAAAAAAACCATTGGATGTGAATGTTGATCATTGTAATTAATGTAAACAGTTGAAAGGTGTGGCTTTAGATTAAAGTTTGTATCAGAACTATTCACTTAAAATAGGTGTAACACTGAGGATTGGATGGCTAACAACCTAAAGGCATTATCTTGACATCAAGGAAATTTATCGGCAGAGTCACAACTATTCAAAATTTCAGCACTGTAAATCTTGATAATTTTTGTGTCAGCATGATCTGCAGAAAACCATAAAGCCAACAGAATACTACTAATATCTGAAATTCAGTCTGACAGCTGATTTTGTTTAAATAGGGAAAAAATGAAAATTTCCTGCATAAAACTCATGCTTGTCATGAATATTACACAATTATAGAAAATGGCAAAATAAATTTATAAACAATATCATAGGAATTTTTTCTGATTCTTGTACAACAAAAAAGGATATCCGTCAATTTCTATCATGGTCTCCAGGTCAAATACTTCAGCAGTCAGGTAGTCTGGACCACCCCATGGTGGACTGAGGAACACTACATCAGCTGATAATGTAGGTCCAACCTTTAGGAAGTCTCCCTGTATAAATTCTATGTGGTTCTCCACTCCATACACAGAGGCGTTATGTCTGGCTATTTCTATCTTCACTGGGTCTATATCTATTGCTATTACTGAAAATATACAATTGATAATTAAATTGCAAAGATTCATACAGTAGATGCATCTAATGGCCCATGTTGGTATGTTGAAAAGTAAAAGTTCTAAAAAAAAAACTTTTTATTAAATATTTAGTTGCATTTTATCACAAAACGATCAAACAATGTTTTTTTGGTTATAATCAATATTTGCTGTATCAATCTGTCCAAAATAAAAATTAATATAAAATCAAATACAGCCTCTTTAATTCTTTTATTTAAAAAAAAATCCAATCTATATCTTTCAATTTGTTTCAAACACTTTTTAAATAAACAATGTGTTATTTAATGTTTACAAGCTTTTCATTTGTTGAAAAATATAATCACAAATTTCTTTGCCATTCTCTGGTTTGACAATTGAAATAACTTGAATCAGTTTCATAGGAGTAAAAAAAATGAAAATTTACCAGAATGTACTCATGCCTCTGGCAGTAATGTACTTTTTTAAAACAATTGCAATGACAACAGTGAAACTTTGATTTCTTATGGGGTTCAATCAAAATCTACATGGCATCATAACTGCAATAAATTCCACCAGATCAACATAATTATACATTTGTAAAAGGTCTGCTGATCATCATTCTTATGAACTATTTGGTCCTGTAGATGATTGAAATTTGAATTATCAGAATCAAGAATCTGCCCGCCATGTTTTTATCTAAATGAACTGGTTTTTCAAAAAACCCTTCCATTTACCAAGCCAAGTTTGGATTAGATTGGCAAAACAGTTTCTGAGAAAATGAAAATGTGGACAATATGAATTTTTTTCATCATTCTACACGATTCTGGTTATAATTGGTGCAGTAGATTCAGAGACAGTGATGCAAAAGTTAAAAAGTTCACTGATCAACATGCAAAAGACACAAATTATTTACAATAGCTAAAAACACACAGCAAGCATTACATTTTCTATATTGTAAAACTAACTATCTCAAGTAGAGAAATATCATATCTCACTTTCTTCTGTGGTATTTATTTTTTTATCTATTTCAAAAGTTGTTAATTTGTCTAAGAATACATATGAATAAGCCATAACATCTATTTTATGCATTTGACAATTTGACAGTTAATCCTGTTTTTGGTCGGTGTACTTATTTGTGTTTTCCATCTACAGTGCTGCCTAAAGAAACGATCGTTTATCAATAAAACATCCTGTTTTTTTTTTTCTTTCTTACCCTATTTTTTGTGATTATCTTGTATAACATCCTGCAATACTAATAATTTGTTGATTTTCTTACCATGATTACAGGTAAAAGCAAACTGTATAGCATTTCCACCAACACCACAAAAGGCATCTACTATAATATCACAGCGACATCTGTCAGCAATATGTTCTGCAATTTTCTCAGGAGTTACAGAAAACCAGCCCTCTGTAAATTCAAACAAATAACATAATATATCTTAATCGACTCAAATGGTAATAACAGATACCTGTCTAAAATGTATTCCCTAATGTAGCAAAAAAGTCTTTTTAAAAAGATCATGATCACAGACAAGTTTAAGAGGTATGTAATGTTGAAAACACCTCATGTACTTTGCTATTACTGTAATTATTTTTGCTCTGACAATACCTTACCTTGTTTAACTTGAAGATTGACAATATTTTATATTTTTTTTACTTTCCAGATTTTTCTTCTCTTTTTAAATTCATTTTTATTTGAAAGATATGTGCACACTCAGGAACTTTACATCTTGAGATAAGGTAAATAGCTTTATGGAAGTTTTTACAATTATTTATTTTGGCTGTTTGGCCGTGCAAAATCTTTCAACATAGGAAATATGAATGACAAGAGTGCACACGCTGAAATGTCTCGCCTTCTTTACTAACCATTGATTTTATGTTGATAGTCCTAAATATAAAGCTTTACTACAAGTAACACATAAACTTAACATGATCAAAGAAAATGAGGTCAAGGTCAGATAAACCAAACAAGAAATACATGTACACCTTACAATCATTCAATAAACCAAACATAGTTGACCCTTCAACTTGACCTATTGCTTATAGTTTCTAAGAAACAGTCTTAACCAAGAAAACTTAACATTGACCAATGAACCATGAAAATAGGTCAAGGTCAGATGAACCATGCCAGACAGACATGTACACCTTACAATCAATGTATGCATTAAATATAGTTGACCTATTGCTTATAGTATCTAAGAAATAAACTTAATCATGAAAACTTAACATTGACCAATGAACCATGAAAATGAGATCAAGGTCAGATGATACCTGCCAGACAGACATATACACCTTACAATCCTTCAATACAACAAATATAGTTGATCTATAGCTTATAGTTGAAGAAAAACAGCCCAAAACACAAAAACTTAACACTGAGAAATGAACCGTGAAAATGAGGTCAAGGTCAAATAAAACCTGCAAGACTGACATGTACATCATAAAAAATTTCCATATACCAAATATAGTTGACCTATTGCATATAGTATTAGAAAAAAAGACCAAAACTCAAAAACTTAACTTTGACCACGTGCACTGAACCATGAAAATGAGGTCAAGGTCAGATGACACCTACGAGTTGGACATGTACACCTTACAATCATTCCAAGTACCAAATATAGTAGACCTACTGCTTATAGTATCTGATATATGGACTTGACCACGAAAACTTAACCTTGTTCACTGATCCATAAAATGAGGTCGTTGCAAGGTACGCACATATTAAATATAGTTATCCTATTACTCATAAAAAAGAAATTAACATTATAAAAAATGTTGACTTTTTTTTCAAGTAGTCACTGAACCATGAAAATGAGGTCAAGGACAATGGACATATGACAGATGGAAACTTCGTAACATAAGGCATCTATATACAAGGTATGAAGCATCCAGGTCTTCTAGCTTCTAAAATATAAAGCTTTTAAGAAGTTAGCTAACCCCGCTGCCGCCGCCGTATCACTATCCCTATGTCGAGCTTTCTGCGACAAAAGTCGCAGGCTCGACAAAAACTACATAAAATCAGCATTTTTCTTTATGATCTTTTTTTACTCACCAGGATATAGCCTTTTTGTGCTGAAGCAGAGTAAACACCAATCAATCAATCAATCGTTATCTTTTGGCAAAAAATATAATGAAGTATGTCAGTCTTCAACTTATAATTTTTATTGCCCATTAGATATATAATTTATTTAGTCTAATGAATAGATATTATGTTACATATGTTATATTCCTGGAGTTTTCTGGTGTTTAGAAAACTCCAATTAATGATGAAATGTAGGTAGATAAAGTACCATGTTGCATTTCAGTGAATACCACTGGTGTAGCTCCCAGAAATAAAACAATCGTTTTTCCTATTCAATAGCAGATCATTATGTTTTCCTGAAATTAAGATTGATCTTGACATTTTACTGTTGGTGAATGTTCTCAATGTTTTTCTTTGTTTGCTTTTGTTTTTTTTTGCTGATGCATAGGTAAGGGGGCCAATACTTTTATATCAAGTCAAGTCTTAACATTTATACCAATAAAAATCAGTCCTCTACATTGCTTACCTCTGTCCATCTTTATCCCATCATCAAACTTAGAAAACAACCTGTATCTCTGAGCCCAGTATTTCTTCAATTCTTTATCATTTTCTATTTCTTCTGGAACTGGCATTTGTTTCCTTCTCCTTCTTTTCTTCTTCCCCTTTTTCTGTTGAATGTTATCTATGTCAGCTGACTCCTCCAATGTATCACTAAGGACATCATCCATATTATCATCTAAAAACCCATACAAATTAAGCTCCTCATTCACTTCATCGGTATTGTACAAGGATAATGAATTTGTAGTCTCTGTAAAACTGTTATGGTCTTGGTTTTCAGACTTACCAATGGATTCATCTGTAATTATCTTATGTAGCTGGCCACTACTTGATTGATCTCCATGTGACTGAATCTGTGTTTTTTCTGAGATATCACATGTTACATTATCACCTTTTGAATCAACAACAGTTTTTTCTTTTGATTTAACTTCATTATCAGAAACGGATGAATCATTAGAGTCACTATCCTCCAAATTATTAAGTATTTTAAAGTTTTCTGGGAATTGTAATTGAAGATTAGGGTCATGCTGATCTTTCAACTCTGTCATGTCTGTCTCTGTATTGGTTAATTCCATAAAATTTTTAGCTTTACCCAGAACTTTACTTGTCTTTGGCTGAAGAATACTACCCTCACTATCAAACCTGACATGGGAATTTTTCTTTCCTAAATTAACATATGCTGTAGATTTCTTGGCATTAGGATGTTTGTATTCAACTTTTCCATCCTTGATTTTCATCTTTTTAGATAGCCTACAAAATGATAGCATGACTTATCATTACATAGACAGCTCAACTTATTATATAAATATAAAGCTTGAAGCCATTTTTAGGACTGGAAATTTAAGAATTAAAGTCTGTATAACTTTTAATTTACAAAATTTTCAGTCCAAAGCCCGTAATTTCGGCAAAAATCAGCAGAGTGGAACCAAACGTACACTTGATCTGTAACTCATCATAGTGCACTCACATACTAATAATCAGCTCAACTTGTGAAGGCATTTAAAAAAAAGTCTGTATAACTGCTATTTTCATGAAATTTTCAAAGTCCAAAGCCTGCATTTTCAGCAAAAATCAGGGGAGCGGAACTTAACTTAAACTTGATCTGTAACTCGTCATAGTAGACTCACATACTATATATCAGCTCATTATGAGAAAGTATTTTAGAAAAAAAGTTTGTATAACTGTTTGTTGCGGAATGATGGAATGACGAAATGACAGAATAACGGAATAACGGAATGACAGAATAAAGGAATGACAGAATGATGGATAAGGGTAAATCTATATGGCCCAGACAACTTTGTTGCTGGGCCATAAAAATAAATAAATCAATGAATAGTTTTCAACCACATTTTAAGTTATGGCTATAACTTTTTTTCTCAAATAACAAATAATTTATCCTATAAAATACAATGCTGAAATCACATTTTTAAACAATAATAAAAACATATTCTTACAAACCAAACAAGATTTACAGAACCAAAATTTGCATTTGCTTTACATTCTTTGTTAAAAGCATTGCTAGGCTTTCAGACAAATAAATTACAATTTTGAATAGATTGCATTAAATTGGTGCTAAGCATTATTTATCTAAATTAAAATTAATACAACATGTTTAACCCCGCCGCATTTTTGCGCCTGTCCCAAGTCAGGAGCGTCTAGCCTTTGTTAGTCTTGTATTATTTTTAATTTTAGTTTCTTGTGTACAATTTGGAGTTTAGTATGGCGTTCATTATCACTGAACTAGTATATATATTTGTTTAAGGGCCAGCTGAAGGACGCCTCCGGGTGCGGGAATTTCTCGCTGCATTGAAGACCTGTTGGTGACCTTCTGCTGTTGTCTGTTCTATGGTCGGGTTGTTGTGTCAACGTATATTTGTTCCGCCTAACAGAAGTTCCACTGGAAACTTTGTTATAAACAATGTCATAATATCTGTTCCTGTTGGAACAAATATTCTATACCATTTATTCCGTTAGGAACATTTACTGTAATATTTTTTCCATTGGAAATAATATTCCAGAATACTGTTTCCTTTTGGAACTTATTTTATGAAGGAACTTCTATTCTGTGACAGTTGTCTCTTTGACACATTCCCCATTTCCATTCTCAATTTTAGTAATATAGCATTTTCCTAACTTAATACGCTTTTCTACATACTTAGCATCATCTTCAGTCAGTGAAAACCCTAGGTGTTTTAGTCTGTCCTTGTATCCCTCAGTTTCTTCATCTACCTCATGACTGAAACAATATGCTTAGTTGTAAAAGAATGTTACATCCAAAAGTTTGGTTATCTATCTATATATATAAATACGGTTCTATTTGAAAAAAAACCATTATTACAAAGACAGGCATATAATATACATATTGTCTTACAACTGATCAAAAGTTTAGTCCCCCTGTTTAAACTGAACAATTTGGATTTCAATATTGGGTAACAATTTTTTGAATAGCCCTGTAATTATATCTGCAATATATACACATGGGACCAGAGAATTTGTCAAAAGTATCTGTAAAGATAGTATTGTGCTTGACACATTAAAGTTTTGGACAAAAGCCATTTAATTCTGAATGTGATTTTCTGCTAGCCTTTGACCTCTACCGTTAGCTTGTGAAGATCAAGTTTTCTGTTTCTGTTTCTGTTATTTTCTTTCAAATAGCTTTGAAAATGTGGTGAGAATTATGCTTAATCTTTTGCTGTAAACTCATATCAAGAGGAACCTCAGAAAAATAAAAGAAGAATGTTTCCATTGGAAACAGATGCCCCTGCTAGTAATTATGCAAGAGTCAAATAAGAGACATAACTCAAAACAGTGACAGTGAAATCACCCAAATTCGAACTTGACCTGTGTTTGGTCATGGTGGTAATAGGTAGCACTCCACTGTCTACAGTTAGGAAACTCAATTAAAATTGACCTACAAAATGTTTAATCATCTTCTTTTCCTGGCTTTTTAATAAATTAAGCTAACTGATTGTGTCATATATGTGCATATGTATGTTATTAGTATCTTCTACATATTGAATTTTCAACAGTTAAAATGGTGAAATTTAAATTCTTTTTGTGTATCCATGGCAAAATTCTGCATTTTATATTTACCATAAACTAAAGGCTCTAAAGAGCCTGTGTCGCTCAACTGCATTTCTTATCCTGCATTCTTATCCTGCTGATCATTTTTCCTTTTTAGAGTTTCTATATATTTATCTTTTTTTTTATCAAAAAGTGTAAAAATTATCATTAAAGGGCAATAACTCCAATAACAAGTTGACTGAAGATTTTGACCATAATGGCTTATTTGTAGATATTCTCTAGCTGATCATTTGAGCTATTTAAAGTTTCTGTCTATCTGTTACAGTTTTCAAGATAATAGGCAAAAATGGGAAAAAATGGGAAAAATCGTCATTTAAGGGCAATAACTTCAATAAGAAATCAACTTACATTTTTGGTCAGGTTGATTTATTTGTAGATTTTATCTTGCTGATTATTTTTGATTTTTAAAGCTTCTATTTATCTATTATAGTGTTTAAGATATTTGACAAAAACGCAAAAATTCTGTAGTCATTTAAGGGCAATAACCCTAATAAGGAGTCGTCTGACGATTTTGGTTATGTTAATTTATTTGTAGATCTTGTCTTGCTGATCATTTTAATTTTTTGCTATATAAAGTTTCTGTGTATCTATTATAATTTTCAAGATAAAAGGGAAAAAAATTTAACAAGAGGCTGTCAGGGTGACAGCAAACTGGATTTTCCTGCATGAAAATGATATTTGCAAATCTGGACCCCTAAACATGATCAAGTAAAAAAAAATTTGTAAGGGTTCCGCGGAACTCAGTGTCTCGCCTACTTTTGCTGTTAATTGCAGGCTCAACAAAAATGAGGAAAAAAATTAATAAAAATATTCCTCTCTATAATATCTTTTGATTGTAAATAGCTTCTGTCCAAGCTTGGTAAAAATCCAGGATAGTTTATGAATCTAATAAATGTTTTAAAAACTTAAACTGCAGACTGTATGTAATGTTAACTGGAAGAAAAACTAAGTTTATTTATAAGTAAAATACGGAAAAAATGGAATAAAATTTTAACAAAATTTCCTTCTAGATACTAGCTTTTAATCATAAACAAGCTTCTGTCCAAGTTTGGTACAAATCCAGGATAGTTAAAGAAAGTTGTTAAAATTTTAAAAACTTTAACCACAGAGTGAATGTAATGTTAACTGGCAGAAAAACTAAGTCCATTTATAAGTAAAATACGGAAAAAATGGAATTTTTTTTTACAAAATTTACTTTTGAATATTATCTTATGATCATAAACAAGCTTCTGTACAAGTTTGGTAGAAATCCAGGATAGTTTAAGAAAGTTATTAAAATTTCAAAAACTTTAACCACAGAGTGAATATTTGTGGATGCCGCCGCCGCCGACGCCGACGGAATGTAGGATCGCTATGTCTCGCTTTTTTGACAAAAGTTGAAATCTCGACAAAAGTTTAGATTCAGCATTTCAAAGAACCCCATTATATAATATTCAATTTTTGTTGAAATCAAACAGTTTAATTTTGGACACCCGATTAGGACCAACTTGAAAACTGGGCTCAAAATTAAAACTTTAAATACATGTTTATTAATAAACAATATAAGTTTTAGTTTTTAAAGGAGTTTGCTCCATAAATACATATATATATATATATATAAGTCTAAATTGAAAACAACGTTCAAACCTATGATATATATATGTATATAGCATTCAGAAAATTAGTTTATACAGAATAACAAACATTCTTCAAAACATTTACCAAAAAAAAATTTCCAAAATATCATTTATCATTAATACTATAATAATAATTAATATTAATCTATAAAACTTATCTGTAATTTATTTCAAATATATAATAATGAGCAGTAAATTTCAAACTATATTTATACCTCCTACAGCTTATCATCAACAACACTTAGGAAACACAAAATTTTCAAATAAATCTGTCACTCCAATTATAATTTTGTTAGTTGATAATTACCACATGTTTGTTATCTTGATAAAAGGTGGAAATTATTGCATGAATAAAACAGATACAATCATTGATAGACTATCTATCCATATATTTATTAATTACACCATTTCTGTTCAAAGGGAAATAATTCAAAATAAATAAATCATTTAATTAGTATCACTTTTGCTACTGAAAGGTCTACAACTTAACAACAAGAACAGCTAAAATCGTGAAAATTAAACTTGACCTTCATTTAGTCACAGGAAACAACATATCTAAATAAGAAAAGATTTCGTCAAAGCGTTTTCATGTTAATGAATGGACAATGTTTGGCAGCCGCCCGCTGTACATCCCCAAATCAATAACCGATTTTTCCTTTGAAAATATGGTTAAAAATGGTAAAATTTGTCATTCAAGGGCAATTACTCCTATAAGAAGTCGTCTGACAGTTTTGATGCAAATGGACAATAGTTAAAGCTCAAAATTCTGAACATTTTTGCCACTGTCAGAATTTCTCTATTTATAGCGATTTTCAAAATAATAAGCAAAACTTGTATTTTACCCCCTATGTTCTATTTTTAGCCATGTTGGCCATTTTGGTTGGCAGGCAGGGTCATCAGACATATATTTTAGACTAGATACCCCAATGATGATTGTGGCCAAGTTTGGTTAAATTTGGCCCAGTGGTGTCAGAGGAGAAGATTTTTGTAAAAGTTAACGATTGAAGACAAGGAATGATGAACGCGAAGTGATGAGAAAAGCTAAAAAGGGGTATGTCCCATTTCTCCCTAAATTTGAGGGATACCTTTTTTGGAACTATTGAAATTAATCAATCAAATGATGAAATAAAAACTGAGTGCCTTTCACCTCATTTTTTCGTAAAATTGAATCACAAAGATTGTCATACAGAAAACATACATAATACATACCTTACACAATTATGATGTTCATGTAAAACTTTGAAAGCTATATTCAGCTATCCAAATAATGAATTTTTTTGCACACTAGCTTTCAGATTTGAAAAATCCACTGGGGCCAAAATGCGAAACCACACACCTAACTGTGGAGTGCTACCAATAAGCATTGTGTATAAGTTTCATAACATTTGGTTGACGCAATCTAAAGTTAGAGAATGGAAACCAATTTTGGGATGTACGGACGTACGGATGGACAAGGGTAAACCTTAATAATGCCCCTTCACCAAGCAGAGAAGGACAAAATAAACTGCTTCGCTAAGCGCAGCTGGATACGCCCGCAGAGGTCCAACCCTGAACAGTTGGGGCAAAAAGGGACACAATATTTAAGCTTGATACAGGTCTGAATTTGGATTGTAATTAAATATTTGACATATTAAAGGTTTCTGAATAAATGTAGTCAAAGAACTTGAAATTGGTTATATGAATTGAATTTATATTCAATTAAAGATTTCTTGCTGTTGTGCAATACACTGTGCTGTTGTGCAATACTAAAAACAAATAAAGTTCAATTTCTTCTCAATGTCATATTTGAAATTTATGAAAATCAATAGGGAGATTACATCAATAGCTATAAATAATTCACCAAAGTTTCATGAGAACTGATGAAAGCATTTTTGAGTTATTGTCGAAAAACTGGAAAATCCCCCCTTTTTTAATGAATAAAACCCTATAACTCAGAAATGTAAAATCTAAAATTTATAAAATTCTAAAGGGAGCTTACATCAACAGATATAAACAATTCACCAAAGTTTCATGAGAACTGCTGAAAGCATTTTTTAGTTATTGTCAGAAAACTGGAAAATCCCCCTTTTTTTATGAATAAAACCCTGTAACTCGGAAACGTAAAATCTAAAATTCATAAAAATCGAAAGGGAGCTCATGTCAATAGATATAAACAATTCACCACAATTTCTTGCAAGTTGGTGAAAGCATTCTTGAGTTATTGTCGGAAAACTGGAAAATCCCCCCTTTTTTAATGAATAAAACCCCAAAACTCGGAAACGGTAAATCTGATATTTTTAAAAAACAAATGGGAGCTCACGTCAATAGATATAAACAATTCAATAAAGTTTCATGCATATTGGTTACAGCGTTTTTGAGTTAATATCCGACATGTTGACGACGGACGGACAGACGGACGTATAATTACAAATCAATATTAGTTCTTTGTACATTGTACAAGGGCAATTTGCAGACATAAGGCCCCTTGTAACTCAGAGAGAATGAGAGCTCAGCTAATACATGTGAATTACAAATCCAGGCAAATTTTTTTCATGAGATACATAAGAAAAACACTGCAAAAATAGTATGATTCTATTAAATAAACAAGTTCAAATCATAGGACCAATTGCAATTAGACTCTTTGTAGCAGGAAAACCATAAGAGATTTGCAAACTCCAATTACATTAACCCAAATGTTCTAATCAAAAGGAAGTTTACAAACATTATCTCATCTATTTTAAAATTGCAAAAAAAAATTTTCTATGTACACAAAGGAACATCATTGTTATTTTACAAACTTTTCTTTCACTTCAAACTAGTGTTAACTATATGCCTGATGCTGACTTTATTACAGATAGAAAAATCAGAACAAAAACGGATGTATTTTTTTCCCCTGCAATTATACAAAATTTTCTTCAACTTTTATCAATTTATTCAGCACACTTTCCTCTCATATATGACTGAAACCAACTTGAAATAATCGATCTATTTATTTTGCGAGTTCTCATAGGCATCAATAAGTATAAAACTTGTGCATATTTGTGTACATGTTTTAACATTGTGGCTATGCAGATTTTTCAATCAAAAATCTTTTTAATCAACTGGTTCCTGTCCATAATTTTGCATCCTTATTTAACCTCGGGTTATGTGTCTTACCTTAAGATTATAATTCACTAATGGTTCTTCACAATACTCATTTTCTTACATCCTTATCTTTGGGTATGGATCTTACCTGTGAGGTAGTTCTATAGGTTTGTCATCAGGAGGCTCTTCTCCATCCCCACTACCATTTATATCTCCCGCTGCAGAATCAGGGTTAGTTCTTAAATTGTTTACCAATGACCCTAGAAATGAATATCGATATATTACAATTAAGTATAATTTATGTCTTTATTTAAATGTCTTGAAAGTGAATGTATACAAAAAGATGCAAAACCTCATGATAAAATTAAAAGCTAAAAGACACTGTATTAAGAACATTAAAGAAATTAATACAAGTTCTGTTCATTCAGATTTATTTCCCTTTGCTTGACTCTGAATATTGAGATGACTTTCTTACTTTTCTCAATAAAAACAGTATAAAATATTTCTTATTTTGCTATTAAATCAGGGAAAATATCATCATTATTTTAACTATGGGTAACTACACAAAAAGTTTTAAATGAAAATGAAAATAAATAGTTACAAATATTCTATTACATTTTATAAAGCACCATTACTTTGTTTTGTCTCTTTATAAGTATTTATCTTTACAACACGAACCTAAAGAGAAAGTTTTAGCTTTAGACTTCTTAGTATGCTTCCTTTTACCACCACCAGCTCCATCACATGGTTCACCACCACCAGCTCCTTCACACGGTTCACCACCACCAGCTCCATCACATGGTTCACCACCACCAGCTCCTTCACACGGTTCACAATCAGTGACATAACTAATGTTCTGTCGTGTTTCTGTTTCAATGGAATGAGATGAACCTACATTAACAACACCTATAGAATCAGAACATTTGTCATGTGAACAAGAACTGTAATTATTTGAATCCTCACTATGTGTAAGACAATCATTTAAGCTATTTTTGGTAAGATTACAATTTTCTAAGTCTTTATGAATATTTCCACTACTTTTTTCTTCTACTGAGCCATGTGACTCCAAGATATTTTCCAGTGTCATATTTTCACTTGACTGACATTCTAGTGCTGATGTGGTATCACATGTATCTTGTGTCTCTTCACCACATGAAACTGAGGTACCACAGAAATCATGTGACTCCATACCACCTGGCAATGATGTACCACAGACATCATGTGATGCCACATCACATGATACTGAGGTACCACATACATCATGTGAATCAATGTCACCAGATATAAATGGACATTCTGTCACTGTGTGATTTTTTGTTTCTAACTTTTGAAATTCCTCTTTAAACTGACTATAGTAATACCAGTAATTCTCTGTGTAATGTTCATTCCATAAATCTTGCCATTCAACATCATCTGTACTCGTTTCTTCTTCATTGTCTTCATTTCCATAATTTTCTGTTTGTGAACTCTGACCTGGGCCTGAAGAATAACAATGCATCATGTGAACCATTTCTACATTTTGATTGGCTAAATTATTAGCTTCTGCAGTTTCCAAGTCAGATATTTCAAAATGATCCTCTGTTTCCTTTAAATTGTTCATTGTTGATTCTATTGCACGATTGTAAGATGTCTGAAATCCAGAATAGCCTGCTGAATCAAGTCTGTTTTGCAAATTTTCAGTTTCCTTTGTTTCAGCTAATTGTCTTTCTTCTTCATTTTGACCTAACATTTCGTTATCTTTACCATTGTCTGTGTTTGTCTCTTTATTTGCATCTTCAGGAAAAATCTCCTTTGATTCAGAATTTTCCTCTTCAATTCTACCAGGAGATTTTTCTATGATCATTTCTCCGTCAGCTGTTACTTCTATCTCAGACACACATGGCATGCCTCGGTACTCGTTGAAGTCAACTTGTTCTGGATATTTGTTCACCCAGCCTTCCCATACTAGATATTCTCCATATTGTGCCCAGTAACTCTCCCATGCAGTATCAAAGTCCAGTTCCTTATAAGGATGTAAATCTCCAACAACACTATCATCATTCAGCTCCTTATTTCTTCTTTTCCTCTGTTTCTTCTTCTTATGTCCATGATTCTTCTTTTTCTTCTACAATGATGATATGAAAATCATTTTAAATATTATCAAAATTAAGTGATTCTTTTAACAGATATTCCACCAATTCAATATAGTTTACATACAATTGTGATTTTCTGTGGAAAATTTTATAAATCGAAGTTATAACTGCTTTCTTGAAAATCTGGAGGTGCCATAGTACTAACTGATAACAGCTTATTTTGACAGTGCCAGTGATGTGTTTATACAAGGGAAGTTAAGAAACAGTGAAAATTTAGTTATAAATGAAACCAAATAATATTTTTTGTATTACAGAGCTATATACAGTGTAGACAAGGATTGAATGGGCCAGTGAGGAGGAAAACGAAGGTGGAGAGGAGTAAAAAGAGTCACTGGTCACTGGTTTAGTAGAAACTGTGAATAAAATAGCAGATTGAAATAGAAGCAAAGGATCAACATATAGATATAAAAATAACCACTAATATCTTATGGCTTCAATAAGGCAAAAGCAAAGTTAAGGTTTAAGAGAACTGAGTTTGAAGATTAAGTTGCCTATTCAGGGTTTGACAGCTTCAAACCAGTTTTACTGACAATTTGTTTTTCATTTTAACAGTGTTTTTGGTGTAGTGATAATTTCTTATCGATATATTTATTGTAATAATTAAACCGGTTGATTTCAATGTGACTGCTCACTATGTCAGTTGTGGGTTTTTGATAATCAGTAGCCAATGAATAAAGTATTACAGATATCTTAAAATTCCCTTAGAATAGATATGTATATATCTTTGTATAAATACCTTTGTTGATGTTTGCTCTATCTTTGAACTGCCTCCAAATGAAGCAAATCCCATGGCTTTCATCAGTTCCTCGTCCTGTTCACATATTTTCTCATCATCTTCATTGTGTGATTCATTTTCACTAGAATCCTCAAGGTCGTTCTCTTTGTCCTCATCCTCTTCTTCCTCCTCACTGTCCTCAAATTTCCCATACAATCCTTGTCTATATAGCTCATTATCACTGTAATACAAAAATAGTATTTGTATATATCTGATACCATGTTTGGTTAACCTATGTTTTTCGTTTCAAAAGATATGAGCCGGACACTATTTTGGACAAAGTTTTACTATCAAAGGAGTAAAGATCAAAGTCAAGGTCAGAATAACCTGACTTTGGTATATGACACCCCTCCCCCTCCCCCACCCAGCCCATGATGCAACTGTATACAAAATTTGATTTAACTTAAGTATTATGGTTCAAAAGTTTTGCACCTGACATGAAGGCGGGCTTATGTACAAACAATCGAACAAACTATATGCAGACATGGTGATTTCTATATTCCCCCAAAACTTTATCACAAATTTAAAGGTACATTTCAGGCAATAAATTTTACCACTTTTATTGTTTTAACCTGCATATATTACTCAGGTCAGCATCTGCAAAGATAATATTTACAAATTTGGAATCCACTAAATTAAGATAAATAGGCAATTTTTTTTCATATACTTTAATTTCCTAATCCAAAACCACAAAATTTTATACCATAGAATAAACTTGCTTTACCATTTATGTGGTAACCAAGGGTCCGGAAACGGTCATATTTGCCAGTCATGTCCTAAGATGAAACTATTTGTCCTAAACGAGTAATTGAGATTTAGGACAATTTTTTTTTTACAGAAGTAATTTCGGTCATTTCATTGACTCAATGACAATGTTTGAAATCGGATTTCTTAATCGCCATTTTGCACTTGTGATCACTTGTTTTTGTTTATAATCCCTTTCCTGTAATAAAACTGTCACTACAGTAGTTTGATAATCCTGAGGGCCCTCCTAATATCTATATCAATGCCTCCGGGAAACATTGGCTAATGATCGCTAATCACTTTTTACCTGTGGTTTTAATTCACATGTACACCTGACAGTGATCACAAGCTCAGAATAATATCTTTAAAACATTAAAGTTCCCTGACAAGTGTATTCATTATTTATTTACTTTTCATCAAAGACAGTCATCAATTCTGATTTAAAAATCAAATCTAAATTTACGTAGACAAAAGTATTTTTTCATGAGTAACACATGTACTTTATTTACTATGTAATACGCATGCGTGAAATTGTCTTCAGCAAATTTAATATTTAATCGTAAAATGCAAATTAATTTCATGCTAAATTAAACGAGTGCAACTATTATCTGTTATATTCAAACACTTTTAAAGGTAATAAAAAAAAAAAGCCATAAAAAGCCGGTGATTTCCTGTCAATTTGATAAACAAAACAAATCCCAGAAATGAATCCGGAATTATTCGTACTTTATAATATCGCAAACTTCCTGTTTTAACTTTTGTCAAATCGAAAGAAACATAAGCAATGTCTTAGAAATTAACCTTTTTGAGTCATTAAAATCATTTCAATTTTAGACTGTTGCCTTCCCTAAACTGTCCTTCAAGGTAATGGTAAGACATTTACTTAGTAAATGCGATGAAACAGCAATATAAGTTCGTCATGTTCGTTGATGCTATGAATTTAGTCAAGTTGATATCGACAATTTGAAAAGGGGCACCAACTTTTCAAACATCTCAAAATGACCGAAATTGTCTGGAAAAAATTCTGGATCCTTGGTGGTAACATATGAACTTCAACACAATAAACTGCCCTTTTCTTAATCCACTAGTCATATTCAAGACTCAGTTCTCATATATATGTAGGACTCAAATCTATGGTGGGTTCCAGATCTATGGCAGATTCCTAATCTATGGTAAATATGACGTCATGCCATTCCCAATCTATGGCTGATTTTTTAGAACCCTAATCTATGGCAGTGATTTTTTATTTTCCTAACCTAAGGCAACTTTTTTTCAGTATCCTAATCTATTGCGGATTTCTAGATTTCAAATCAATGACAGATTTTCTGCAAAGGTCGGACCAGTCAGTATATATCTGACCAATGATCAATGATTTCGAGGTCGAAATGTCCAAAGGTAGCGAAAGAGCTGCTTTTAAGTAAAAACCAGTACATTGTAAAAGAAAAACAAAATATGACTATTACTAGGAAGCATATCCATAACCGTTTGTAAAATGAACACAGACTTTAGGGTTGAAATCATGTGCCCCGGAAGGATAAGTATTTTCTACTCTGTGCATGGTACCTGCATGCTTGACCCATTATTTAACCAACACAAAATGTAGTTTGAATTTTTAACAAATATCTATTTGACTTTGAGCGTTAGATAATTTAAATTTTGTTTGACTGATGACGGTGTAAGTCCTGTCATGAACATTGACTCGCCTCCAACCCCTGACATTATAAAATAAAATCCTTATTTCTCCAACAGTACAGTTATTCGCATATTTATAGCGGGGAAAACATTAATATTATTAATATCTATAAGAAATCTATGACAAATTTTTTTCTCTCCACTGAATCTCAAGAAAGATTATTTGCTACAACAGTCCAGGTAGTCACTGTTATATAGATGTCAAAATAATTTACGTTTTGTTACTTCTAATAGAAAATTTAAGAGATCATAGGGATACAAAACATTACATAAAACAGCAAAAAGCAAACCAAAATGCACAATAAAAGCTCGTACAATTAAGGGTGAGGGCAACACCAGCAACACGAGAAGAAGGCATCAAGGATAGAAACAACAACAATTCTGAATTAAGGTTGATTTAGATCCTTGCAAACATACTTTTTGATCTTTTCCTTTTCCTTTTGTATAACAAAACCGTCGCTGTCAGCGGCAGCTTCAACGTTACATGACGTTATTTAATTGTGACGGAAAATTACGTACTATCCAAATCTGCCATAGATTTGGAGAAAACAAAAACCTGCCATAGATTTGTGATTTATTTGGCGTTTGTGACATCATTTTTACCATAGATTAGGAATTTGCCATAGATCTGGAACCCACCATAGATTTGAGTCCTACATATATAATGATCCTTACTTAATAAATACTCTCGTACAATGACAACTTATTGTCTTGTCTTCATCCTCTAAACTTAGTTTCACATCTGCAAGATGATTCCATCTGTAGCACATCTGTAATATACAGTCATGTATAATAGACATAATACTATGAAATATATAAGCCTTGTATTATTAATATTTTTCTGTCATAGCAGTTTACAGTTCTACATAAGTGAAAATAAAGACTTTGATTTATTTTTCCCATTATTTTTCACCATTTAAAAAATCTTAACAAATAATTGTATGTCTTGTAAAAATAATTAATACTAAATCATTGTCAAAATATTGTTGTATTTTACACAATAAAATGTCAAATATGCCTGAAATATTCTAGCAAATAAGTTGACTCATAACTAAAACTAACTTCACTTGAATGTTAACTAAAATAAACTGCTTTGCCAAGTGCAGCTGGATACGACCACAGAGGTCCAACCCTGAACAGTTGGGGCAAAAATGGACACAATATTCAAGCTTGATACAGGTCTGAATTTGGATTGTAATTAAATATTTGACACCTTATAGGTTTCTGATACAGAATAAATGTAGTCAAAGAACTTAAAATTGGTTATATTATTTGAATTTATATTCAATTGAAGATTTCTTGCTTTTGTGCAATACACTGTGCTGTTGCACAATACTTAGTAAATCTTTTTTCAGACTATAAACAAAGAATAAGCAATTGTGACCCCCAATTTTTCTTTGGAAAATTGACAATTTCTTAAATCTTGAAGGAAAAAATTGACCCCCCCACCTTTTTTCCAAAAATAAATATTTGCAGTGTTCTCCCCAGGCCGATATGACGCTGCGGTCCCGCAGTGCCTTCAAAATATTTTCGTTGATCCCGCAGCGCCTTAATTGGCCGCTGTCCCTTAATACTTGATCCCGCAGCGTGCTAATTTTCACATTTTAATTATAAATGTTGGTTAAAATTGTCAAGTTGCTGATTACCGCTGAGAGATCCTGAGAGGTCGGTCAATGTTGCGCAATAACTGATAACTAGTAATTAAACTAGCAAAAGTCTCTGATTTACCTGTTCCAGCCTTATCAGACCATGTAATCAGGTTATAGCGTAAATGATCATCAAGAAGATATATATTTTTGGTAGAAAATAAGTTTTTAAAAACTTCAGTGCAAAAATTGAAGAAATAGATCGCAAATACATTGTATTTACGCATCGTCTGTGTGCTATTTAAGTAATGAATTTTTTCATTGGTCGAGAAGAAGAATCTATTTAAACACGACCAATGAACATGATGAAAATACATGATAAATTTGAATACACATTACTAATGAAATTTATGAATGAGAGTATTTGTACGTCAAAAAAGTAAAATAAACTTTAATTAAAGATAACAAAGAGTGATTTATTTTATTAGAAAATGAAAAATTGTTGCTTAATTCTTGTTAATTTCTTAAATCTTGAGGATAAAAAATTGTCCCCTCCCAAAAATATTTTTTTTAACCCCCCCCCCCCCCCAATTTCATAGAGATCCATACACTTTAAACTTAAGTTATTGTCCGGAAACTAAATGTATTTGGACATCGACGACGCCGACATGATAGCAATATAAGACCCCAAAATTTTTTTTGCGGCCGTATAAAAATAGATATTTATACCATAACGATAACTACAATGCAAGATAAAACACTGCATAGCGTGTTTTTTCCCAGGTGTAAAATTTCTCAATTTAGGGGCAAAAAAGGAAAGGAAAAAATTTTAGCGGGTTCTTAATTCCCAATCAAATATTTTGGAAGCTACTGAAACATGTGAAAACTGTGAAATGGTTGCAGTTAAAAAGTTGTAAAAATTGACAGGTAGAAAACAGTGAGACATTTCTGCTGTAGTTCTGTATAAATACAAGCATGACAAGAAATTAAAAGAAAAACACATTTTTAATAGTACAAAGAAATACAATGTACATATGGGATAATGAAAAACAATATTTGAGGTAAAACATGTTTTAAATTGTCAAATATTTACAAAAGCGTCTCAAATTTTCCTGTCTTGTGACATTTTTTGCTAGCGGAAATTCACCTTCAAGATAAATAAATTGCAAGTGAGCATCTTAATTGTCATTAATTAAACATGTGTCTATAATTTTGATATTGCTAAATTTATTTATCTGAATGACGTCTTTTTCATTAATTATATTCTGATTGATACAGTTAATCAAAAGGCACTGGCTACGGTTACATTGAAATGTAACAATAATAAAAAAAATACTGTTACATTGGAGACTAATTGCCAGAATGCTGGGTTGGGTAAGGAACTGATTAATTACCAATGTAACAATAATATTTGTGTTTACCGTTACGTTGTATTATTGTTATGTTACGTTAGATTTATTAAACTTTAATCTTCTATATTTTTGTTGCTTAATTCTTCGAAATGTACTTGATAATAATGATATTATTAGGTCTTTCCACTTTTCTGTGGAAAGACCTATTGTATTTTTTCTGATTATTATTATTTTTTTCTTCTTCCGCCACTTTTTTCTGACGGTGCTTATTTGTTTCGCAAGATGTCGCTTAGATTTTTTGCATATGATATTGAACAGTTATTACGATTTTGAAACTGACCCTGTTAAGCCGAACACTTTTTATTGTAAGAGTTATCTCCCCAAACACAGTTTTTCTTGTGAACAAATCTCCTTCGCAACCGTTAAAGATTACGACAAAATTATTTCACCAATTTGCTTGTTATATCTTCAGGATCTTAAAAAAAATTTTGACCGAAGCAGTCCGGAGACTACATATGGGAGTTATTTCCCCTTTTGTATTTTTAATAAGAAAAATGTAGTTGTAGCTTGTAAACCATAAGTGATAAAGACCTAGGGTCTTTTGATTTGAGATCCTTGGTCCAAAAAAAAGAAAAAAGGGTCAAGGTCAAAGGTCAAGGTCATTTCCAAATTTGGATTTTGGCTTACTTTCACCACTTTTCAAACACGATATAAGATATCGACAACATATTCTTACTTAACTGTTAGTTGCGACATGTCGTAACACATACATATTGGTTTAAAGAGAAACTTACATCAAATTAGAGTTATCTCCCCTGTTTATTTAAAAATATGCATATGGTGATATATCTCATGAACCAAATATAATTAAGATCTAGGGTCTTTTGATTTGAGGTCATTGGTTGATGACCTTGAAATTGAGCCTAAGGTCATAGGTTTAATTGACGTTCTAGATTTTGACCTTTGCTTTTACCTCATTTTTATACATGATAAAGCCATGGGACTTTTTCCATTTAGTTGCAAGCCATATGACCTTGAAAAAGGAACCGGAAGTGACCCTGTGTAAACCGGAAGTAGCTTTTTTTTGGTACTTTTACAAATTATTTCCCTTATTTAAAAAATATTGTATAGAAACCATATATTTTTGGAATCAGCGTACTATAAGCTATCATTTGACGCTGTTAATGACATTTTAAACCGAATTTTTACTATTTTCATATCAAAATACTTGTTTTTTTGTGGAAAGACCTTCAACTATTCTCTGAACAATTGGTTTTTAATTATTATTATCATTATTATTTTAATATCATTATAAACAAATAGTCAGTCAGGGGTACTACTTGCACAAGTTATTTTCATTTACTTGAAGAAGTAAATATTAATATACCTATATAAGTAAAATTGTAAGCTTTTATGCAAGTGTATTTTATTTACTTGTATAGGTAAATTATTCTAATGGCTTAGTTATGCATGTTATGTCCTTTAAACATTCAGACTTTTTTACTTATACAAGTAAAGAATTTCTGAGGACTTCTTTGCTCTAATAGAATTTTTAATTGTCTGTCCTTTGCAGATGTCTTTTATACTAATCATTGAAGTGTATTTCAATACAGTGATATTGTTTGCCTCAAATTACAGCCGAAATTCGGCTTTTTCCCCTACAGAAAATTCCCAATTATTAAAAAAAATGGCTTACATTTCTTCCCAAAACGTTTTACATTTCCCCCCAAACAGTGATGGCATTGGTAGCAATGTTTGTAAATATCGTATTCATGTATTTTGATATTAGAAAGCACTTTTGAGATCCGGTTTTCTGATCAGAATCATCATGGTGTTTGTAACACATGTGTATTCAATGCATTAGGTCCGAGTACACAGTTATTTCGTAGTGCATTTCTTTTAGACAATAAATGAAAATTAAAAAAATCCCACCTGCGCTTTCTCAATAATATTTTTACAGTGTGTTGTACTACTTTTGGGACAAATTATATCAAAATTATAGAAAACTTCATCGGCTCTAACTCAAAATATGGACAATTTCATGTTAAGGGGGTCTTCAAATCTTTTGACAGCTTCCGAAGTGCTAATTTTTAACATTTTTCAGCTGGACCAAATCACTACTTTACTTTAAAATTCATGACCCAATTTTTTTTACAGTGTCATTTCACCCCCCTACTTACTATTTGAGTCATAAAACATGGAGAAATAAATTTGGAAGGGGTATAAAAAAAATCGACAAGTAACACACTGTCCACACTAGGGACTATATTCGTGGACAACGAAAATCAAAGGACGATAACTGTGTACCCGGACCTAATAGGGTGGAAAAAGTTGACCAATCCTAATGAAACTTGGTATGACCAAAGCTTATTAAATTATAAGACTGCTTACAAAGTTTCGTGGCAATAGGATATATATTATAGACAATATGACTAATTCTATATTCAACTTTGCGTGTTAAATTTAGACGTTAAAATTGAAAATTTTCAACTATCAACATTTGGGGCTTAAAAAATAAAAATATTGCAAAAAAATACTTTTGAAATGCCTTAATATATAATATATTATGTATTAAAAGCAATAGAGTACTCATTTGATTTATCAGACTTATCATAATTATTAAAAAGTCAAATTTATATGAGCCTGTGGCTAAAAATGGAGGTTTTCCAATGAAGGGGGGCCTTACATGAAGATGTAATATTTTCCAGCAATTTTAAATTTGTAAAGTTTTTTGGTTATAAATAATCCTTACATATGTATTTAATGTACTTTAAATGGAAAGAAAACTTACAAATAACATATCACATTAGTTTAAAATGGTCTTAGGCCAAG